CTCCCATTGAACTGATCCCACAAGTCCAACCAGCCTATCTGCTTTTCCTTACATATTAACCTAATCTTGGCATTTAGCCCTAATGACCTACTCATAATTTCCTCCCCACAATTTAATCTTGGCAATATCCCTGACACAATTAAGTTATGGCCTTTTTCTTTAAATGCCTTTATCAACCCCTTGTACTTATTAATTAACTTGTCTGACCTACCCTTCCCTACATCATTAGCCCCTACGTGCACAACATAAACTGTACCATTGCTACCCCCCTTTATTATATCTCTTGCTCTGTCCATTATATCCTCCACCTGTGCCCCTGGGTAACATAATCTAATTCTTTTCTACAACCTGCATGTACAGTTTGTAGGTTGGAGGAGAAGTTGCAGGCTATCCTAATTTAAGTAGAGGTAATAAATAGATCAAGAAGGGTAAACTGTGGGAAATGACAGCAGGGTTTCAAGTAGAGCTTATGCTTTTACATGCAAGGGATACATCAGGTAACAATAACTTTCAGGAAGTTAGGAGTACTATTTGGGCTAAAAGTAGTGGATTTAATTGTAATGAGCCTATTCCATTGAGCAACAGATTTCAGCCCTTGGTTTGTGCAGATGAGGAACTATTAAAGGGAAAGAAAACGAAAGGGTCAGAGAAGGATGTGGATGATAAATTTAAGAAGGTAATATTTATAGGTAATTCCTTGACAAGGCATTTGGATAGGATAGGGGTAAATAGAGTACATCTTCACTACTAGTATTAGCTTCCTTAAATGTACATACTAGTTTAGAGTTCACAAATAAAACCCACTCATTGCACTTATCACACCTAACAAACTGTGAATGCTTAACTCCAACACAAGTCTTAACCATTGTATATTAAGCCTGGAAATAAATACTCAATGCTAAATGTAAATATCAGTAACCTATTGCCAACACTGTTAAACCTTACGTTTTAGAGTCAAATATAATCCAGTTTTTTACCACTACTTTATGTTCACCTGGTGTCTTATGCAAGGAACTGAAATGTGTTTGATATTTTTTAAGACACCTCTGTGTTAAATTAACATTGACAACTCGTTAATCAGTTGTGTCAATGACCAAACAAATTTCAGTCAGAGCATTCCTGATTCAAACATATTGTTTTTTGGAAACCTCCAATTCTATGCTGTTTTTTCTTCACTTATTCTTGAGTTTGTTTCACACACATCAGCATATTTCTCAAATTACTATGATCACAGTCCTAAATCAGTATTAATTTCTTAGATTCATTAATACAACAACAAATATTTTATGAACAGTATAAAGATGGTAGATTTTTGTTAGCTATTTCTGGAAAAACATGACACATATTTCACTTTTATTTTGTAATTTTTAAGTTTTTTCTGCTTTTCAAATAATTTTAAAATCCACAATGAATCTATGTCTGTTTTATCCTTTTTACTTTTTAAATAAGTGTAATTGGAATAGCTATTATCTTTTTATTACTCTAATAGTTTTTGTCATATAAGTGAAATATTAATGCTTTCTACAAGTAGCTACTGTTGTAAAAATCCTAACAGAAATTGCATGTTATGTCTTTTTGTTTCATTCACAATATTGTAATTGTTGCAGGACATTGCCCATGCCTCGAAAAGGAACTTGTTCAGCACCAATGTATATGGCTTGGTTGGAGATTCTGACAAGAGATATGCCTCCATTCTTGTTGCTCCGAGGAAACCAAACAAGCGTCTTAACATTTTATTCATGAGATAGAGTTAGATCCCCCTTTTATTCTGCAAACAACATTGTCGTTATTAGGCAGACTGTATGGAACTTACAAGAAGATGATGCTGTTGTCTACAGATGGTCATGGCAAATGATATACAGTTTTGTTGAAAAAATTATACAATAAACTGCAGAAACACCTGGAGAAGTTTAGATTTTAAATAATTTCTTGCTAGATTCAGAGAAACTTAGTAATGTTAGTATAGCTCATGAATGTGATGATATAAATCTGCAAAATTACTATTTCGTTTTTCAGTCTTTTAAGGATCTGATTTCTTATGTAGTGTGAACTATACAATAATCAGAATTGACAGAATTTTTGTAAATTGTAATTTGTTTTGTTTTTTACTGGGACCAAGTATTTGTTTAAACATTTGAATACCATATGCATATCAGAAAAAGAGTTAGATTCTTGTTTATACTTTTGCTGCATAAAATAGTTTCAGTTAGTTGAATATTGTTTTACGTACTTAAATTAACATCTTCAGGTACTCAGGTTGAAATACTTAAATTGTGGTCCTTCACCCAGACCATTTTTAAACTTCTTATTTAAAAAAGGTTGTCATTGTTGAAATTACTCTGAATATTTCAATTTTTAGTATTTCTGACATATTTTGCAAGTTTACAATTGACTGGATTTGTACCATTAACCATGTTTATGTTGGAATAAGAAAAATGATTTTATTAGGCTGGTAACTTTAAAAATCTTACATTACAGTTTACTTTGATGTAAGATGCACACCGTGTCTAATTTTAACATTTGGTGTAAGGGTAAGCTGTTAATTTACAATTTTTATGTAAAGTATATGTTACTGAAGTTCGATATATAAAAACATGACAGATGTGTTCTTTTTTTAAAAAAAATATTTAAAACAGTACATCAACAATATTGTGAAAGAAAAAATTCCTTAGAATATACCTGTTTTTATGGAAGGATGTGCATTTAGTTTGACTTGCTAGAAAAATATATTTTTTAAATTAAACTTACTTGAAATAAGAAATAAATAAGTCATTAAGAGGAAAAGATAAATATCTGAAAGTGAATTGTTGAAATGAGCCTCACACTATATTAAACAAGTTTAATTTTACTGTGCATTATTACCATGATGTTTTAAGAATTGGGAATGTAAAACTTCTGAATTGGCTATTTGGAAACATTTTATATACATATATATATATATAAAACATTTTAATCTTTATTTATACTGCCTAAATATTGATACATACATATAAAGAGAAAGTAAACTTTTCACTGAATATTCATTAACGAAGCCCTTATAGCCTTAACATCTGTTGTCTATGATGAATAATAAAATTGTTGTTAAAAATTTGAACCACTTTTGCTACTACACTAATCATAAACAAACAGTCTGTGTTTTTGCCAAAAAAAACAAACTATAAGGTTATTTGTAGGCCATTATGTGCTTTTTATAGTAGATAAGTGTGTCCTGACTTTAACAATGGGTCAAACAGGTGGTGTACTATAGTTCTATCACATTCCTGAAAAATCAACTATTAGTATTTTAATCTAAGCATTCAGAATAGACGAACAAATGTACATATGTTTTCCCCAGGGAAATAATTGGATATAAATACTGATAAGATTTTATTAATTTTAATGCAAAGAAATATAAATTCATCATTACATAGATAAAGACAGAAATTGGGTTAACTGTACAATTTTTTCTATTCACTGTATACAAATGTTTTTGGTTTATATCGGAAAGGAATTTTCTTCCGTGCAAGTATACATAGTGCAACTAAAGAGATATTAACTCTGTTTTTTGTTTTTTTCCAGTTCTCTAGCACACTTTTAGTGCATATAGCAAGTATCTAGGAAAATAAAATTTTTTATTCTACTAATTTATTGATCTATATTGAACAAAAAGGAAGAATTTTGATAAATTCTAGCCTTCTTATAGTCATTAAGCATAATTAATTGAGAGACCAGGATAGCCTTCCATGAAGCCAAACTTAGCATTGTAAAAGTGTTCATAGAATGTTTTCTTACATTATTTTTACTCTGAACATAACTGGATTTCATAATCATACCAACTTTGGCCTAACTTACAGCCATAATTAGAATAAGTGGATAGGAAAAAAAAAAAAGATGTATAAAAACTGATATTTCTTCGTTTTAACACAAAGTATGAGTAGATAGAATGGGCCTTTTATGAGTTAACCATTTTTAACTCACGTTAATTATGAAGATAGATTTTAATTAATCAAGCCTAGAATCTGTCTTTATAGCCAGTTGATGCCGAGACTTTGCAAGAACACATATGTTTGAGAAAAGAAAAATGTTTCGAATTCTAGAATCTTCCAGTGAATTAAATTGATTGATCTGTGAATAATGCATTGTTACACAGTTGTATTTAATGAAAAGAATAATCGGGTAAAAGTAATTTGAATTATTTTTTCAAACTGTCATTGGAATGTTATTAAAATTACCTGTAGTCTAGTTCAAAGTTGTTTTGTGGTTTGGGCTTCCAAGAGCTGGCTGATTAAAAAGTTGTTTAAATATAGTTGTGGGCCTTTTTATATATAAATATAGTGTCATTTGGTGCCTTTTACTAGATTAGAATATATGTGTACTATACTAGAAATAAAGAAAGGCTTTATTCTGACATTCGTCTCTTGTGTATTAAATGTTCTGAACATTAAATTACTTTGTTTAATCCATGTGAGTGGACAGTATAATTAATGGGAAGACGGGCCTTTTAATAAAGGCTGGGTAGGAATATGCTCTCATGAAAATATACACGTATCTCTTTAGCAGTAGTGACTATCATAATGTAGCAAAAAGTGTGGACCGCTAGTTTATATTAGAAACATACGTTAGATACTTTAAAAACAAATATTCAAAATTATAATTTCGCAACTGTTACTTAACCCTCAGCTAGTAGGGTAAAATATTTGTATCATAAGTGGTAGGGTGGGTAAAAATGACCTATGTGTAATAAACTTCAGAAATATTATATTTATAATACGGTGGGGTCATGATGACCCACAAACGATTACAGCAATAAGAAAGAGAAATGCAACAGCGCAACCACTCTGCCCAACAGTCAATAATTAATTGAGCACAGAGTATAGAAAATACCAGGTAGAGAGCAGCATTAGTTGAGTTGGAATAGCGACTTGAAAAATCGACGTGGGTCATTCTGACCCGACCATAGAAATTGAGGGTTCAAGTACACCAAGAAACAAAATAGTCGAAACCACTGACTGCACTAACCAACGCATCCCCGTAAAGCATTTTCAAGATTAGTGTTATCAAATTACTCGAAAGTTAATTGATATTTTTAGAAAATGAAAAGAAGCGAGTTTAAGAGTTTCTTAAAGAAAACCACATCTTTCCATGTGGGCAGTCAAGATCCATAACTCATTTTTCACAACATCAATAATAAACTTAAATATTTTTTCAAACTGCTCAAAGATCAACTAATTCCATGTAACTTATACAAAACTCAAGTAGTTGTTTTCAACATAGTTTTTAAAAAGAAAGTTATTTTGAAAGTAACGCGTAATTTGTATCATGATCCGCTAAACAATTAGCTATTTCTTCAATATGAATATATCTAAAAATATGAAAAATAAGAACCTGTTACTTTTTTTACAAAGTGCAGACTTTTTTGGAGAGATTTTTTTAGCCATTGTAAAGATTTATTTTCCTATGTTCTAAAATCTTCTGGACGCAAATCCCTTATTACTCGACATTTTGTTAACATTCGCGTCTTGTGTATTGTATTGTATGTTCTGAACATTAAACTACTCTAGTCATGTATGGCAATGTATTGTTGCGTCAGCGAGGTCACGTGACTAGTGTCACGCCACCTGCTTTCTAGAACTATCCCGTTCCTTCGGGAGTGCTCTAGCATTTACTAGATTGGGAGGTGGTCTGATATATATATAAGATGGTCACGGTTAATTATAAGTTAATTAACAAACGGAGACGTAACAGTATTATACATTTTTCACTGTTCTTGTATATAATCTAATCCTTTTAAATTCAATTATTATTAGGGGTACCCATTTCTCGAAATATTTAAGGAAGCGGTGTATAAGAAAAATATTTTACATTCGAACATTTGATTTTGGCCCCCCAGTGGCACAGCGGTATGTCTGCAGACTTACAACGCTAGAAACCGGGTTTCGATACCCGTGGTGAGCAGAGCACATATAGCCAATTGTGTAGCTTCGTGCATAACTACAAACAAACAAACATTTGATTTTACAGCGTCGTATTCTTCTCTCGTGTCACCTCCAAAAGGATGTTTTAACATCGAAATGTAAATACGTTTCTCAATTCTCTCTAACTAAAGACACACATAATGTGCCAAAGCTGTACAGCAGTAAGAACAACTACATTCAGAGGCCACTCATGGTAAGAACAATGACAGCTTCCAATTTATTTTTGCATTGACAATATGGGTTAAAAGCGATAAAACTACTTCCTGGAATGATTGGGCAGGCATTCATATCTGTGTATGAATTAATAATATTCAAGGTCTTATTTAGCTTCTGCCGTGTAATTACCGTGTGCGGATTCATTAATGAGGATATAGTAGTTGACTTCTTCCAAGGACGAACCAATAGATATACGTAAAAATGATAACATCCTTATTTGTAGACATGAAGATTGCCTGATCTCCATAAGTGGTAATTTAGACTATTAAAAGACGAACAAAAAAAGTGGGTTGTATAGTACAGCCTTTAAGTGATATGGTTTGCTGTGTGATATAAAACCAGTGTCACGATTAGCCAAGGCCGCAAATCGGGAAGCCTGACTTGAGAAAATAAAGGCGATGGAAAAGTTCCTCATTTTAAAGCTGACTTTATTGTCAGGTAAGTAAAGATAAAAAGTCAGTATTTTTTATGGGTGAAGACGTCTAATTTCATGAATATTAAATTTTAATAAGTTGAACAACGTACATAAGATCTAGAAAATGTGTTCCAATTAGCTCTACATCATAATTTGCACGTCTTGGATATTTGTCAAACTACGAACAATATTTGGGAAAAATTCGTCTCGTAGTTCATTGTTTAGTTTTTAATCCACAATTTCATAATACACACCATTGTAAGTTGCATTTCACACCAGTAGGTTACCAGAAAATAATAATAAATAGCGATTAGCTGGATTGGTAAGTTTATTTTTTGATTCGTTTGTTTGTTTTTGGAATTTCGCGCAAAGCTACACGAGGGCTATCTGCGCTAGCCGTCCCTAATTTAGCAGTGTAAGACTAGAGGGAAGGCAGCTAGTCATCACCACCCACCGCCAACT